TAGGAAAGGGCTACCCGTAGACGGAGTCAGAGGACTTGTCACGGCATGGAGCCACCACTGGGCTACGCCTCACATGCACTATGCTAGGGTTTGATCTGGGTTATGTTGGGGCTTGACGAGGACGTCAAGCCTTTGAGTGGGGGTGGGTCTGATGAGTGTACTATTATCAACTTCAGCTTAAGCATTTTAGTCAGTGGTTTAGACTAAACGAAGTTGATAGGCCAGTTAGCCCATCAGGCCCGAGTCATTATATTTGGTATCAGAGCCGACCTAGCATTTGGGCATGGTGAGGGAGCTCGAGTAGGAAAGGGCTACCCGTAGACGGAGTCAGAGGACTCGTCACGGCGTGAAGCCACCATTGAGCTGCGCCTCACATGCACTATGCTAGGGCCTGATCTGGGTTATGTTGGGGCTTGACGAGGACGTCAAGCCTTTGAGTGGGGGTGATTGTAACATCCCTAATTAGTCCCACATCGAAAGTGGGCAAGACTAAGATTGACTTATAAGGGTCTGATGAGTGTACTACTATCAACTTCAGCTTAAGCATTTTGGTCAGTGATTTAGACCAAACGAAGTTGATAGGCCAGTTAGCCCATCAGGCCCGAGTCATTATATTTGATATCACAAACAAACAAAAATCAGGTTTTAATAGTGCTTTTCCTTTCCAAATATAGTGAAAATACAAATTCATAATGTATTGAAAGGTGTTAAAGATATACTAATAAAACTATGTGGTCAGCTATATTAATCTCTTGTCATCGTAGAAAATCATATGTCTTGTTAAATTAAAAGTATTTAAAAATTTATTTGTAGTTTATATTAATGTCTTACTGGGCATTCTTTTATAGAGAGTTAAAGGTTTCAAATATTTCCAAGAATTTTTAATATAATAAAATAAATCGACGCCATCAAATTCACCGATATTAATGTAAACAAACTAATATTTGCATTACTATGAAATAAAAATAGAATATCTATTAATATTTGAGAAAAATAATATGGTTTATTCCCTAATATGAAATCAAAAGAATCTTTTGTAATCCTCAAATATTTAAAAGAAAAGTCATTTATTTTTTCAATTTAACATGAAAAATGTTACTATTCAAAAAGAAATTCTCCAAATTAAGTCATTCTTCTTATCATCCTATATGGCATCTAAGACAACCTTATCACAGGTGTGAGTAACGTACCAGAGAAGGCCGAATCAGCTCGCGCCACGTGACGTGATACAACTGCCACCAATGCCGACACCAACAACGACAACACCGCAACAGCAGCTGCTGGTGACCGAAGTGTCGTCGACAACCGATGGGGCAAGACATAAGATGAGAGAGAGAGAGAGGGCTTCGCTTTGGGTCGGGTCTCCATCTCTCCTCTCGAGCATTCTATCGAACAAGAGGAGGGTAGCACCGTTTCTCACCCAACAGTCCACCGATGTGCCGTGTCGGAAGGCAGATTTAACAAGAAGAAACCAAAAGGCACAAACCTGCCTTTGTAGGGCGATGCTCGCAGTGGTAATACACCTGCCGACACCGGCAGGACCGAGCTAAAGAAGAAGATGCAGGAAAGCCGAAGGAGAATCTAAACCACACATCGGGTTGAAGCTTCTCCTGCTATTGGCGTCCGGTCTCCAGTTTCTGCGTTGACAAGATTTGGATGCATGAAGCACTCACAAATCAGCTTAATTAAGGAAAAACTATGAATGATTCCCCTACGAATAATTGATACTGTTCAATTTGACCAAGAAAATCCATCAGAATATTACACCATTTCTGCAACTACTCATCTTAAGCAAACAAATCTTCCACAAACATAACCAAAAGAAACCTTCTTGCCACTGTAGAAAGGCATGAGAAGGTTAATTGCTAATAAGGAACTCCAAAGCCGGAGCGGATACTCTTGAGAAGTTTTGTTAATGAATGAGCTTAAATATATCCAATGTCGACTGCCAGTATTATGTTTACGACGAAAACACACATGAGAACTTGAATTCAATCAGAGGGAGTCATCCCTCTTTACCTGATGTATGAAGTCCTACTCCCGACTCTCCATACTGCTATTACCTAACCAACACTAGCCTCAAATGAAATGAAATTAAACTACAAGGACCAGACGTAATATCCGGTGCCTCACTTCCTCTTCTTGGCAGGTGGCTGAGGAAGCTCCTCATCCTCTTCATCGTCTTCGTCTTCCTCACCCTCCTCGTCGTCTTCATCATCGTCATCATCATCGTCGTCGTCGTCGTCATCGTCGTCATCCTCTTCGCTTCCTCCTCCACCGTTGCCCTCAGGGTCATCAGCTTCTTCGTCCCCCTCGTTATCATTTTCCTCACCGGAGAAATCATCTTCGCCTCCATCATCCTGATCATCTCCATCCTCGTTGTTGTCATCCTCATCATCATTATCATCATCTGAGTCACCATCATCCTTGTTCTCCGGTACAACTTCTTGTTTACCGCCTCGAAGTAACCTACAAAGAAAAGCAAAGAGTAAGAGCCTTTAGAACAATCTTAACCGACTATAACGGTGAAACAGTCAGTTGAGTAACACAGAAGGCAAGCATAATCTACCTGTAAACCCCTTCATACCCTTCATCCAGTGGCCCAGTTTGACTTGACAAAGATCCAACCTAAAACAGTTCAATTTTTAGTGGGAACAGAAGAAAGTTGATTTGTATGAAGGAAATATGGAATTCATATTTGAACAACTAATTTGTTCCATTTTGATGATAACTAGTTTGTATGAATCAGGGTCGATAGAAAAGAAAGGCAGGAAAAGATTATCAACAAAATTTTAAGAATTTGGCCACATATACTGTCCTGTGACCATTGAATCAGTCATCCGCTAATAAATTCAGACACGAGCTTGAAAATAACATAAAAACAACCATTTCAAGAAAACTACTAATGCGGCTCATGTCCCACACTCGTCAGACTAAAGGCTAAAATGCAAATATTGACCATAAATTGCATCGGATATATGATTTATAATATCACGTTAGTAAGGGATGCAGAACAAAGTCACATGGATTTCAATGGATGCAATAAATAAGAACAACAAAAAAGAAATATGAAACATCTGGCAGATGAAATTATAAACCCCAACATGTGGAGTGTAAGAAAACCCAAGCTACAACCAACAACCGTAAGTAGCAGTCTCTTCCTGCAGTTCAATTCATGGCAATAACTAATTGGATCATGAGTATTGCATGACATTTACTATGAAATTAGATATTGGATGCACAAAATAGAAAAATATAACAGCCATAGAAGAAAAAAAAATTCCATAAGTAGTATGCTCCTCAAATAGTATGCACAGAATTAAAAAACACCAACTCACCACCAGCTTAAAATCCAGGAACTAACTTTAGAAGGACAAAACACCTAATTTTAGAAGCTTAATAAAAAACCTGATGTTAGAAACCCCTACAAATATACTAAACCCTTCTACAATCCTAGAGCAGGTTGTTGTATTGGATGTCTTTGTTGGCCACACTGCATGTGTGTCTCAGAGAGAGAGAGAGAGAGAGAGAGAGAGAGAGATTATTATTCTATTCTCTATCTGGACTTTCTTTCAACTTTTTTTTTGTTTGGTTTTCCAATCACTTTCCAGCAAATCCAAAACTTACGGTACTGCAGCAAAGTTTCTGCTCACCTCAAGCCCATGAGATCAAAACTGGGTTATATGACATTTGGATGTTGAACGGAACATCCCAATTTGGCACCACCATATACACATCAGATACTCTGTCTCATGAAAGCTGTTAAATGAGTTTCCCAATCTAAAGAAAGCAACCCCCCATTATTATGTACCTGTTCCTAGAGAGATACATGGACAAAGACCAACTATTTCGCACACAGAGAACTAAAATAGCTTCTTGATGTCTACTCACTTCTTCATCTTTGCCAACATCTTATCATACTCTAATGCCTATAATATAAGTGGGAAATGTCAACTGTGAAATAAGAGGAGAAAACAGAGAAGTGTTAAGATCAAAAACCTCACATCAACCCTGTAGCTGATAAAGAAGTAATGAATATGGCCAACGATAGAACTTAAAGTATACCATAATGCAAATTTAGATCAAACAGAAAGCTAAATGTGACTTCAAAATAGAGGAAGCAAGAAATCATAAAGATCTTGATGAGGACAAACATAGCTAATTCCAATTTTGGCATAAAATAGGAAGGCAACTAGTTCAAGATATTAAGAACTTTTTTAATTGACTATAACAAGCACTTATAGCCAAAAAACAACTCCAAGCCCATAACAAGGTTTGTGCACTCCTCAATTACAATGTAGTTTCTTTTTTTTTCCTTTGTTATTTTGGGCACTGCTATCTACACTAAAACCGACAAACATGCATTATCATGTGCACTGTACATAAGACAAGTAACAAGATTGAAAATAAGCGCTACTAAAGTAACAAACATAACGAGGATGAAAATAAAAAAAAAGGGTGGAACAGGGCATCCTTCACTTCAAAGCCTAGCTTCAGGAGTTAAAGCAGAAAAGAAAATGAGAAGTAATTGTGGAAAAATCTCGAGAACCTAATTCTTAGGGGGAAAAAGAGATTCAACCACCTACGAAAACTAAGATATCATGGAGTGGTGTAACTCATAAAACACATAAGGCCCTAATTCTGCTCAAGTATGTTCGCAAACTTACATATTAACATATCTCTATATTCCAACACATGTAAAAGCTATCAAAAAAAGAACAAAGCAATCTCTCAGCCCATCCAACCATATAACTGCCACCAATGTGAGAAAACCCATCGCTCTTCCAAAGATCCGGAGACTGGATGATAAAGTGAACAAATCTGAAAGCAGGCTATACATGAATGGAGGAAAATAGGACAGAAACTATTTTAACCAGTAAAGCCCAAAAGTATAGATATCCTCTTAAGCTACTTGCAAACAGTCAAAAATCGCTTTTTTATGCCAACAACAATCCATGCAGTAATACACCAGAAAAAGGTAACAATCTCCCGACAAATACAACTAAAAACCAACTAATGCCGTAGATCAACATGCCAAAGGCGCATGCTCAGACCATTAACTTAAAGAACTCAGACAATTAAGCGCCGAGATAAGCTAAAAAATCCCCCCTGCTTATGTAGCTCAACACTAAGGAAAGCACTGTAGCCACTCCAATCATCATATAGTCAACTTTAGTAGGCTGCTAACAAAGAACGAAAGCAGGAAGGAAAATAAAGAGGGAGAGCATCCAAACCTCCAGAAGAAGCAAAAGGAGAGACCTTTCCGCAGCCAAAACAATCTCAACCACGAGCAATTCCATTATGGAGCAGAGAGCTGAACCTCCACCACTCTCGGTTTGGCACAACGCCTCCATATCTACAAGCCAGGTACCGAAATCCATAAGCACCAGCGAGAAAAAGCAGCGGAAAAGAAGGATTTAACCGAGGTCGTAGAAGAGAAGAAAGGAAGAGGAGGTGGAGGAGAAGAATCACACCCAGGTCGAAGAGAAGAAGAGGGAGCGGGGAGATAGAGAGACCAGTTTCAACGCGCTGCTACAGCGCAAGATCTCTATCAGGGTTTCTTCGAGCTACCCCTCTCGAGAAACGCAGAAAACCATTGACAAAGGTTTTGGGCGCTCAGGGTTTCGGCCGGGATCCTTTCCATGCCATCGTACGATCCAGGGATCTATCCGTATATGTGTCATGTTGGGAGTGAGGATCCTGTGAACAGACGGCTTCCAGGTGGAATTGTAAAGTTTTTACGAAAGATACATATGGAGAAGATCCCAGATACTTTAGGGTTTTGGTCCGCGACGCGGATTCGGCATTATGGGAGTGTGGCTGGCGCCGCCTGTCATTTATGGGATAGATTTCGATGGATTACAACTACCTCCCACCCGTATCTAACTGGGGACTACAAGAAAGTTGTGGAAATCTATTTCTCACGCCTCCATTTTTGATATTTTCTAAATTTGACAAATAAAAATAATCGTAAATTTTAAATAAAATGCACAAGTTTTTTTTTTTCTTCTCGATTTTCTATACTTATTTATTTCCTTCAGGACAATAAGGTGTTATCATATGGATGAATTATCTGTATTTTGGGCTTTTGTTTGAATGAAATAGAACTTCTATTTAGATTTTTTTTTCTTTTTACTATTTAGCTTTATAACAAAATAATAGATGTAATATTAACTTCTCCCTATTTGTGATAACATTAAGTAATTTGATACACGTAATAGTTATGTGCATCGAATCATTTTGGAGCATGAACCAATCGATCCATCTATTCGATCAGTTTTGTTAAAACATGAGAATGGGTTCTTTGGATGATCAGCATGAACCAATGGATTTAAATAAAGTTTATTAGATTTTATGATATAGTCATGATTATTCAAACCGACATCCGTTAAAACCTTTATTAATGTTCATGCTAAGGATATTTATGTTAATTTTAAATTATTTATTAGGGGAAAAAAAGAAAGCACTTCTCCTCATTCTATATTCATCTACTTTGATCTTTTTTTAGGTGTCTTATCCTTTCCTATTCAATTTTTATCATAGATTATTATTTTTAAAAACATCAAAAAAATTATTACATCAAATGGTATATAAATAACACTATCGCTCGTGCAATAATATACTAATCAAATCAACTCAATGTTTGAACAATCAAAACATCTTTTCATAAAAGGAATAATTGGATTAGTAAAGGCATCTATATCCAGTGAGCCCTTTTGCTATTAGTGTAACCAAACATGAAGAAATGAACTCAGGAACTTGATTACATTATAAGTTAGGGTCAATTACCAGCCACAACTAACAACTGCTAACTAAAAGCAAATCTAACATATACTGCATGTAAGCAAAGCTAAAGCAAAGTGGGGAGACCAAAGCAAACTTGGCTTAAATAGAAGCAAGGAAACAAAAGGTCAGAAGCATTGCTGCATCAACTCTCCATCTTCGCAGCGGCTGATGCGTAGCTGACACTGTAGTCCCGCTTGCTCTTGCACTGGCTGGATTGCTCATATTGCAGGAAATCAATTTTGATCTTTGTGGAGCAGTTCTTTAACATCTGAACAAAAGATAATGTAGAAGTTGTCATTAGACTAGAAAATAAGAAGAGAGAAGAAATATGACTCTTACATGGAGGAAAACAGTAATAGGGCGGCGCCCGCAGATGGTATTTCCATATTGCTGTAGATACCCTTTGAACGCATTAGCATCCCCGGTCTCTATGATATCCATGCCCATATGGTCCAGGACCTCAATGGATTCGTAGATGGTACCATGCTTCGCATCATAGTGTGTGTAATTGAACCTAATAGCAATCAAGCCAGGAGAAAAGTATAAACCCATTTGTAATCATCACTAAATTCTCTAACCCAGATGATTCATCATCGTAATCAATGATATAGTGCAGAGAGACTTCATTATTTATTTTACCCAAAAATTCATCAAACTTTAGAGCTGATAGGTTTGAAACAAATTTTATCCAAAACATGACACAATACAGACAACCCTTCTAGCTTTCTCAAAACCTACATGAGCCTTTTAGCTTCCTCAGCTTTTCTGATCATCTGTTCTATTATTAATATTGTAATCCATTCGTGGTCTTTCTGCATGACACACCCTAGAAATTTTCCAATCCAAGCTTATCTGAAAGTTCCTGGCTGTTTCAAGGTGAAGCCATTCTTCAACAGAGAATTAAATTAAGACAGTATCAGATCTAAAACAAACAAATACTGTCATGGACATTAGCTGCTTACAAGACCAAAGATGTTGCTAATTAATCAGAACATAGAAAAGATAAATGAAACCGATAAGTGACAAATTATCACAATAGAAGTACATTGGTATACCTAGATCCCCAGTGGCAGAAATCCGATGATACTGAGAAGAAATTTTTACGGTCATCGACGTACTTGGCAAGCAGTCGACCGTACATGGATTCATTTTCTGCATTAATGGCACCAACCAAAATAGGTACAACTTTAACAGGATAACTGCATTTAAAAAAGAGTGAATCAGTAACACGTCATGAGATGGATCTAAATATGTGATATACTTACCCATTAAATACTTTAGCAAGATAAGGCAAATGCATCTCCATGCTATGTTCTGCTTCATCAACACGAAGATCCATGAGTTCAAACTTTCCTGTAGCCTGGAGCTCATCATTGACTAGGAACAACAAAAGATAGTAGACTATTAATTTTGGATTGGCCACTGGAAAACTGATAATAGAAAAGAGGGGTAAACATGCCATATTCCATATATAAACTCCAAGGAGATTCATCCAAAGCACCTATTTGTTATGTGGTACTGATATAAAGTACAAAAGACCACCTATTTTGAAGTATTAAGTTTGCAACAAGGTACATTGTTTGATAGAACTAAAGTGATCTTCCAGATTATTTGATGCATTTATTCAGATGAAGCTCTTCAAGCAGGTTGAGGAATGTTTGAAAATTCACAAAATTAACATGGTAAAGAGTTAAATGTTCTCTTCAGTCAAATATGATGTACCTTCCAAATCAACCGGCAAGTCACCCAAAGGTGTCCTGTATATGGTGGCTCTTGTAAGGGCACACTTAGGAGTGTAATAATGGTGTGAAGGACCAAGTAGAAATACTCGTGAACTGGAATGGCAGATTTAGTGTCAATTAGTCAAAGGTAAAATGCAACAACACTGCAATAGAACTCAAAATAACACAATCTTCAGATGTTGCAAGTCTGCATAGTAACATAGATGTGGACAATGACTAAGAAAGTCTTAATGAGAATGGGAATATAAGTTGCATTCTTTTCCTCTCTTTAAGAGCTACTAAAAGAAGAAATCAAATTTTAACAAAAGCTTCGCAACACAAGTGTTCAGACAATGCATAATTAGCCACGGTTTGTAAACCATATTGTGACTCCCTCAAGGGGAGTTCAGCACCATTTCAAACTCTGTCAATGTGCCATAAACATAATAAATACATGACATTCTCACCAGTGAATTTTTTGACCATTTTACATGTCTCAGTGCCTTGGTTCAACCATGTCATTCCAGTGCAAGTTTTGCTCCTTATCATTACAGATAAGCTTCTATTCCGCAGAAAGAAGATAAAAATCAAATTACATCTAAACAACAACTGAGAAGAAAAGAAATTTTAGTAGTGTTGAAAGCTAAGGCTGTGGCAATAGTGGTAAAGGAATAAGCCACGATACTATCATCATCCACATAAATCCTATCTTCTGCCCACTTTGGCTCTGTTCTCTGCTGTAGGACAGCAGACAAACATTTTTAAAGGTACACGATCTATCATATGCAATTCCTTTAACTATCCTTCATCGTCACTAATAGAAGTGGCACTTCCAAGTTCTGACATTGAAGAATGGGCACAAAAGCAGCACGCAGACACAACATGATAACATGTTCATCAACACAGTATATCTCAGACACATAGGACAAAAAGGATAGCCATGTGAAAATTTTACTTATTAAGGTATGTTTTGTGTAATTTATATAAACATCTAGAAGACAATTCACATGCATGGTACGACCAAATAGGACATGGTTGTCAAGAAAAAATGCCTACTCCAAGAACACAGGTCTTATAGGAAAAAGTTAAAATGATGCAATACTCTCTTTGGCTTGTAAACCATGCATAGGCCCTTGATCTCTTGGAATTTGAGAGTATTGCTGAAGTCACTATGCATAGATTGTCTGTGTATCCAGACTGGTGAAATGCATAGTAAAAACCCTTTCTTGGAAGAATCTTTACTTCATAAGGCTTAGATGAAGTGTTCTTTCATTTATCGACCATCTAGTGTCATGGTCTAGGAACAGTGTTATTGTTTAAAATTCAAGGCAACTTCAGGCTACCCTCAAAATTTGTATACAAGTTTCCACCAAACATGTGCCCTGGGCATAATAAGACCAAGGAAATCTTTGTAAAGAACATGTTTTCAAATCCTTAGACAGTTTGGGATATTATATAGAATGTCAATAGAAGTACTGGATTTTGATGCATTTGCAGTTTGGACACAACTGTGATATGTTATCAGTTTTACCAAAAAGAAGTATGTCATTTAGGTCCCTAGGCAAGAGTGAGTTATACCCATTGGCTAAGTCTAACCTTGACCAAGAACTAAAGATCTTGGAAAGCTTAGACAAGGTGTTTTCTGGACCATCGAGTATTTCTCTCAATGGCATTTAACTACTAGGTCTTACAAAATGAAAATGGCATCAGAATCTTTAACCGAGAAATATGTCAGTATAATTCATTAGGACTATAATACTTGTAGAAGATGCAGTTCCTCAATGTATGTAGAAACAAGTAACTAAAAGATCAAAACATAGGGCCACAATATTTCTTCTTACATAATTTTATTCTTGCAAAGTCTTAAATGATGTTAAATGTATTCAGCCAATTTTGATCTTAGGACTTAATCAATAATACCACACATAGATTAAATGCCAAGTTAGAGATGTATCTATCTTCAGCTTTATGAAGAATGAAAATATTTGAATGTCCAAGCAACATGGATCGTGGAAAGGGAAAGCACCATTCAACTCACATGCTTGCAGGGTCAATGTTAGCAAATGCAAATGCTGCACAACGAC